GGGACCGATATTAGCATTTGTCCAAATCATCCGAAGGAATCTAAAATTGATTGTGAAGCTCAACAAAGTCACTTATAGATGATTTGAACATGATGCACAAAAAACAAACAGTGCCAGGGAAATTAAACCAAAGCATGGATTGCTGTCATACCTTGTCCATAGACTGTTTACAGGGTCAGGAAACCAATGTCATTTTGTAATTTGGGTGAACTATCCCTTTAATCTTAGCCCTGACCCTTACCCTAAGTACAGTGTAAGTTCAGTCATTAAGATAGTTGTTACACTGTACTCACATGAATAATTGCACACCAATAAGGGCAAAGTGTTGCCGTTTTGAATATATTATTTATATTTTTCTCCATTTGCATCCACTGTCACGAGGACTTAATGTGGCACAAACAGGGTGCATGACTTCTGGAGATGACTCAGAATGCATTACATATAAATGCTGAACACTTGTTTGATTTCTAAGTGTTACCAGAACTTCCTTACTGTCATGACAAAACATTCAAATCATAATGTCAGAATGTCAGTATTGGAATGTGGTTTCTTTGTTCTTGTTGAACTACATAGTTACTGTACCTGCTGAGTGAACGTCCCAAATGGAATCCTAATACGATGCCATTTGGGATACTTCCTGAGAGAGAAAAAATAATAAAAGAGAAACTTATGCAGATCATTTGATGAGGAGCTCACAGAAGCCTGAACACTGAAGAAGACAAGCAGCAACCATTTTGGTAAGACATTTTCTATTATTCTATAAATTATTATACATTGAAAGTACATGCACTATTATCAGAATGTAAATGTATGGAACAGTGAACACTGTCACTTACAGGTAGGCCTACTGTATGGATTCAAAAATCTCACTCAGAAAAACGTCATAAATAAAATCATTTAGTAGCACTTTATAACAACTCCACGTAATAAAGCATTTAAAATCGATTAGTAAATCATATATTCCTCGTTTATTAATCATTACTCCCATATTTGTAAATGTTAGTAACCTAGTTATTCACACATTTATAAACAACTTTTTAAGTATTGAATGATTTATACGATGTTTAATATAGGTCCTTATAAACCATTTACTAATCATTAGTTAAGTCTTTGTGCGTGGCCTCATCTAAAGTGTGGGCTATTTATACTTTATAAATACTTTATAAATGTTTTGAGTGACCAGTGTAATTTCTTACAAAAAGATGGACATGCCATTGTTAGACATTCCAGCAGTACCTGGTCTCAAAATGGCCCCTAGAACATCTAAATGGCTGAACAATAAACACTTAAAGGAAAACTCCACCCAAAAACTATCTTTTGGTATTTGTTTCATTAGTCCATTGTTGACATAGTCCCAAAAATGTTTTGCTTGTCAGCAGTCAAGTGTTCAAGATATGTGATGTTCAAAATACCGAAATCGTCCCCATATGATATATTTTCGGACTATGTCAACAATGGACTAATGAAACAAACACCAAAAGATAGTTTTGGGGTGGAGTTTTCCTTTAAGAAAGAGGATGAAAATGTATTGAACACTGTATTCCAAAAAGTCCAACTGTTGTACTAGTGTGATGTGTAACTTCAGACACACTCTACGCTGAGTAAAATAACGTTTTTATTGTGAAAAAAAGTTTCTTGGCAGTGACTTTTCTACCAAAACCAAAGTGTGGATTGGAGTCACTCCTTAGAGCAGTCTAATCTCGGTTAACCCAGAAATGAAATCTCGCATAATTTGGTCAGCTGTGTGATTAAGTTCCGGATCCATACCTGTTAGAAATTGTGAGTTCTGGTTTGCAAAGTCTCTGCCCTCGCAAAAGGAAACTCTCAGCCAGGGGCATCACCAGAGTGTCATAACATTCGGGGCTCAGCCCTGAAGACCAGGGGCTGACGGGGGGAAGGGGGGTTGAAAAGAAAATCACCTTTAAAATAAAGCATTGCATGCATATCATCATATTTGTAGGTCAGAGAAAAAAAATGCCTTTTCTAAAATAAATCCCCGAAAGCCCGGTCCTGGTAACGTCCCTGCTCTCAGCCAAAGCGCCATAGACTGCTTACAAGGTAAGGAAACTAATATCTGAATACATTATTTAGCTGAACTGTCCCATTACGTTTAAAGAGTTACTACCTTTAAAGGCCCAGTAAAGCAGTGGTGTGTATTCATGGGTGCCAAGGGAAACCAGTCTTCCCCAAAACTTTTACCAAGAAAAAAATCTAATAATTAATCTTTCGTCTCGTTGTTTCATAATTTTCTTTCAATTTGCAAGAGGCTGAATGTATCTCAACAGAGAAAGCATCCGAGCGACTGAAACAGCGCCCCTCTGTATCAGTATGTGTAGCCCATCTAGGCCTATCTGATGCTGTCTGGTCAAAAAGAGTATGACATTGTTGCCGCCCATAGCGTTGAACGCAAGGGAAGCAAGTGAGCATTTGGCCTCCCTTGATAAAAAAAAGTATAAAATATTAGCCAATCAGCATTCTTGATGCACCCAAAAAAATGTTTAAAGGGAAGCCAATTTGGATTTGGCTTCACACCAATCACATCACATTAACAGCCAAACGTCATTGACATAATTTTTTTATTTGTTGCATCTCGTTGTGTTGTTGTTCTCCGGTGGCTAGCTAGCTAAAATTGTCCCTTTCCTAAATTAGCCATGGATGGAGATAGGGATTTGGACTTGTGGTTTTACTTAATTCTCTGTACTTGCCAATGATTATAACGGCGATTCTGATCCAACCATAAATTCATACATTGTGCCCCTGGCCTGAGAGGATGGAAGTTCAATATGTAGCTAGTTGTAGTTAGCTAAATGTTAACTAGCTAGCTAATCGTTGCCCATTAACCTCTTAAGGTCAAACCTACATGAAAAAAAGACTACAGAATAAACACAGAGATACAACTATTTCCCCTTTAACCCACAGAATGTAAATTCAAACACACAATTTCATGTTAAGATAGTTGTTTACACTTAGAAACTGAGAAATAACAAGAAAAATAAATACATTGAATCGGTAACAAGAAAGGTGAAACATTTAGATATTTATTGGAATTATAGTTTAAACAATTCATAACAGCAATTAGTGCGAAAACACAATCCAAACGCAATTTGACATTATGATGTATCAGTAAAACAAAATAACTACTGGCTAGAGAGTGTGAAGTTTAGAATATAAGGGATATGTTTTTTTATGTGATAGTAAGGAAAAACTAAGGGGACGTGACTGACGTGAAAGACGATATTTAATTTCCAAATTGGTTAAAATTAGGTGAACGTTAGGGTTGAGGTTGGGTTATGTGTATAAACCCTGGATGACTGACAGGGGGCGCTGTATTTAAGCCACCGCGCAGCCATGTTGGCACTCCTCCTCAATTGTAACAAATATTTTGGAAGCTATAGAAATGCATTTATTAACAAACAGCAACCATTTTGGTAAGACATTTTCAATTATTCTTTAAATTATTATACATTGAAAGTACATGCACTGTTATCAGAATGTAAATGTATGGGATAGTGAACACTGTCACTTACAGGTAGGCCTACTGTATTGATTCAAAAATCTCACTCAGAAAAACGTCATAAATAAAATCATTTAGTAGCACTTTATAATAACTCCACGTAATAAAGCATTTATAATCGATTAGTAAATCGTTTATTCCTCATTTATTAATCATTACTCCCACATTTGTAAATGTTAGTAACCTAGTTATTCACACATTTATAAACAACTTTTAAAGTATTGAATAATGATTCATCCGATGTTTAATATAGGTTCTTATAAACCATTTACAGTGCCTTGCAAAAGTATTCATCCCCCTTGGCGTTTTTCCTATTTTGTTGCATTACAACCTGTAATTTAAATAGATTTTTATTTGGATTTCATGTAATGGACATACACAAAATTGTCCAAATTGGTGAAGTGAAATGAAACAAATAACTGAATTGAAAAATAAATAACGGAAAAGTGCGTGCATATGTATTCACCCCCTTTGCTATGAAGCCCCTAAATAAGATCTGGTGCAACCAATTACCTTCAGAAGTCACATAATTTGTTAAATAAAGTCCACCTGTGTGCAATCTAAGCGTCACATGATCTGTCACATGATCTCAGTATATATACACCTGTTCTGAAAGGCCCCAGAGTCTGCAACACCACTAAGCAAGGGGCACCACCAAGCAAGCGGCACCATGAAGACCAAGGAGCTCTCCAAACAGGTCAGGGACAAAGTTGTGGAGAATTAGCTCTGTGTAGCTCAGTTGGTAGAGCATGGCGCTTGCAACGCCAGGGTTGTGGGTTCGTTTCCCACGGGGGGCCAGTATGAAAATGTATGCACTCACTAACTGTAAGTCGCTCTAGATAAGAGCGTCTGCTAAATGACTAAATTGTAAATGTAAAGTACAGATCAGGGTTGGGTTATAAAAAAATATCAGAAACTTTGAACATCCCACGGAGCACCATTATATCCATTATTAAAAAATGGAAAGAATATGGCACCACAACAAACCTGCCAAGAGAGGGCTGCCCACCAAAACTCACAGACCAGGCAAGGAGGGCATTAATCAGAGAGGCAACAAAGAGACCAAAGATAACCCTGAAGGAGCTGCAAAGCTCCACAGTGGAGATTGAAGTATCTGCCCAAAGGACCACTTTAAGCCGTATACACTCCACAGATTAGCTCAAATACAGGTGTGCCAAGCTTGTAGCGTCATACCCAAGAAGACTCGATGCTGTAATCGCTGCCAAAGGTGCTTCAATAAAGTACTGAGTAAAGGGTGTGAATTCTTGTGAAAATGTGATATTTTATTGTTTTATTTTTAATAAATTAGCAGAAATGTCTAAATACCTATTTTTGCTTTGTCATTATGGGGTATTGTGTGTAGATTGATGAGGGAAAAAAACGATTTAATCAATTTCAGAATAAGACTGTAACGTAACAAAATGTGGAAAAGTCAAGGAGTCTGAATACTTTCCGAAGTCACTGTACGTCATTGGTTACGGGTTTGGTTAAGGTTAGGGTTAAGGTTGGGTTAAGGTTTTGGTTAAGGTTAGGGTTAGGGGGTTGGTTAACATTAGGGTTAAGGATTTTATGAGGTTAGGGTTATGGTAAGTTTCAGTTTTAGGGGTTTTGGCTAGTCTGACTGTCAATGGGATGTTGGTCAGAAAAGTCCCCTTAGTCTCTCCTGTAATAGTATTTACAGTTCCAGCTTGATACTCGATTCAGTTTCTCCTCCTTACTTCTTCTCCTTTTCTTCCTTGTGGAAGATCTTTCCATCGGGCTGCTCCTTCCATCTCAGTTTGATGTCATCAGACATCCCCTTCTCCCTCAGCTCCTTCTTTATCTGAGGAACACAAACAGCATTTTGTTTACTGACTAGTGTAGCGAATATGCAGCCAGTACTGGCTAACACTTTACTGTATTCCTCATTCATAAAGCCTTTATAACAGCTACATAAGACATTATAGCATAGGTGATATGTAGTCATATACATTATGAATAAGTACATAAGATGTAGTTGTAATGGTCGTTATAGATGACAGGTAAATCTGTAGTCAATGGCATATATTATGGCCAGATACTGCAGTAACCCTTTATCACTTGTAGTGGCTCTAATATCTCATAGAGGAAGAGAAGGTGAGACTCACCTGCTGCAAGATGGCCTCCTGAACAGCAGGATCAGTAAGGTCCATGTTCTGGTCCTTTGGGGTCAGCTTCACTCTCACCACATGCTGATTCTTCACTGCGAGAGCTAACAGAGACAGAGTCAGACTCACTCTCACCACCTATTCTTCTTTATTAAGACTAACAGAGACAGACAGGGTAATTACACACACACACACACACACACACACTATAACATATACTGTAACTCACCACTGTAGCAACAGAAGGGAAGGTTGTTCTCACATTTGTAGTCTTCAAATTCGCCTGATTTACCGAACACCGACACACAGTTCCTGTAGCGATTATTGGGTGTTCCTGAACGCCAGTATCTGAATAAAGAGTTACTCTGGTCCGACCAGCTCCAGTCTCTGAACAGGCCGATCCACGCCCAGTTTCCATTCGGTACCATGTTCCCTATCTCCTGGCTCTCAGCCAGGTTCCTCACACTGGCCATGTCTGTGTAGTGCTGTCTGCAGTAGCTCTGCCCTTCCTCCCATGTCATAGTTTTATTTGACAAGATGAACCTCTCAGAAATGTTGGTTGTGTTTCCTGCAATTATTGAATGTAAATATTTCTCAAGTATAATTTGTAGTTCTTTTTTTTAGTTATTTGTCACATTTGACTGTGTAAAACCTAGCAGTACTATTTATTTCTCAGAGAGCGAGGCGCATACAAGCCTTCAGAAAATATTCACACCACTTGACTTTTTCCACATTTTGTTGTGTTACTGTAGTGGGTAGTAATATTTATGATTTATGATATTGTAAATACCTCAAATGCGACTGATAATAAGGCTAAGCAATTAGCCTATTAAAATGTTTATTTAACACCATAAAGATAATTAGCAATATGTAAGAGACTATGGTTGAGGTACAGTAATAGGCAATGAAGAAATATCTGAGAATGGATTCTAAATACAAGTGTATTTCATTACTTTGTAAAATGAATGGATTCACATACAAGGCATAAAGTTACAAAACATTAACAAGCATTACAAGGCATTATTCTCATCATGGTCAGAGAGAGAGAGAGAAATCATAGCCTGAACGGCCAAATGTCCATGGGGTGGAGAGAGAAAGAAAGAAAGAAAGAAAGAAAGAAAGAAAGAAAGAAAGAAAGAAAGAAAGAAAGAAAGAAAGAAAGAAAGAAAGAAAGAAAGAAAGAAAGAAAGAAAGAAAGAAAGAAAGAAAGAAAGAAAGAGAGAGAGAGAGTGTGTGTGTATCTCACTACAGCAGTTCAGGAACAAAAAAGTGATTGAACAATCAATCAACCAATCAAATGTATTTATAAAGCCCTTTTTACATCAGCAGATGTCACAAAGTGCTATACAGAAAACCCAGCCTAAAACCCCAAACAGCAAGCAATGCAGATGTACAAGCACGGTGGCTAGGAAAATCTCCCTAGAAAGGCAGGAACCTAGGAAGAAACCTAGAGAGGAACCAGGCTCTGAGGGGTGGCCAGTCCCCTTCTGGCTGTGCCGGGTTGAGATTATAACAGTACATGGCCATTAAGTCCAGATTTTTCTCCAAGATGTTCAAACATTCATAGATGACCAGCAGGGTAAAATAATAATCACAGTGGTTGTAGAGGTTGCAACAGGTCAGTACATCAGGAGTAAATGTCACTTGGCTTTTCATAGCTGGGCATTTAGAGGTTGAAATAGCAGGTGCGGTAGAGAAAGGGAGTTGAAAACAGCAGGTCTGGGACAAGGTAGCACGTCCGGTGCAATGAATCCTAGACCCTTTTATAAGCATCTGAGTTGTTTGGATTCAAAACCTGAGTTGTTGACCAATAGTATTTCTGTAAAGTTAACCTCCAATCAGATATCAGACATACATGATGTAACCTCTGCTTCTCAGAGACGAGAGTCACACCTTCGTCGTGGCAATCTCCAGGAGGAGATGTTCCCACGGAAGTCCTGGGGTCACTGACACCAGGAGAGGTATGAAGACTGATAAAAACTTGAATTTACTAAATTAATGTTACTGTGTGAGTTAAATTGTAGTGTTTGGTTTGTTTCAAGAGTTTATAAAGAGCTGCAGATTTGTATATGTCTTATTGCATTTTATGCTTTATGGTTAATGTATTTTTAAAGTTATTAGATTGAAACTGTATGTTGGGTTGACTGGTTATCAGGCACATTCCTGTTGTATGGCCATTACGTTCAAATTGAGTTGATTACATTAGAATCTGGGTAGTGTTTTCCTGTCTTTTGTTTTTACTAGCGAAGTGGTAAGTAACGTTAATTCAGGTTAGGGGTGCGTTCATTTTGAATTTGGTTAAAAGAACAGTACATTTGTTCGTACTTTGAGAACATGGTACCAAGCTCCTGTGTGTATCACACGTCGTTTTTTGTCTCAGAGACGATTCTGAACTGAAGACGAGTCATCACGTTAAGTCTTAGCCTATTGGTGGTAGTAATTTACTCAGAGTTATTCTATAATGTGTCATGTATTTAATGTACACTGGAATTGAGTATTAATTATTTTGTGAGTAGTACATTCTATTAGTTTAATTGAGTAAATCCATTCCTCACTTTAGAGAGTAATTATTTGATTGACTACAGTCGTGGTCAAAAGTTTCGAGAATGACATAAGTATTGGTCTTCACAAAGTTTGCTGCTTCAGTGTTTTTAGATATTTTTGTCAGATGTTACTATGGTATACTGAAGTATAATTACAAGCATTCCATAAGTGTCAAAGGCTTTTATTGACAATTACATTAAGTTTATGCAAAGAGTCAATATTTGCAGTGTTGACCCTTCTTTTTCAAGACCTCTGCAATCCGCCCTGGCATGCTGTCAATTAACTTCTGGGCCACATCCTGACTGATGGCAGCCCATTCTTGCATAATCAATGCTTGGAGTTTGTCAGAATTTGTGGGTTTTTATTTGTCCACCCGCCTCTTGAGGATTGACCACAAGTTCTCAATGGGATTAAGGTCTGGGGAGTTTCCTGGCCATGGACCCAAAATGTCGATGTTTTGTTCCCCGAGCCACTTAGTTATCACGTTTGCCTTATGGCAAGGTGCTCCATCATGCTGAAAAAGGCATTGTTCGTCACCAAACTGTTCTTGGATGGTTGGGAGAAGTTGCTCTCGGAGGATGTGTTGGTACCATTCTTTATTCATGGCTGTGTTCTTAGGCAAAATTGTGAGTGAGCCCACTCCCTTGGCTGAGAAGCAACCCCACACATGAATGGTCTCAGGATGCTTTACTGTTGGCATGACACAGGACTGATGGTAGCGCTCACCTTGTCTTCTCCGGACAAGCTTTTTTCCGGATGCCCCAAATAATCGGAAAGGGGATTCATCAGAGAAAATGACTTTACCCCAGTCTGTCCCTGATGTTTTTCCTAGAGAGAAGTGGCTTCCTCACTGCCCTTCTTGACACCAGGCCATCCTCCAAAACTCTTTGCCTCACTGTGCGTGCAGATGCACTCACACCTGCCTGCTGCCATTCCTGAGCAAGCTCTGCACTGGTAGTGCCCCGATCCCGCAGCTGAATCAACTTTAGGACACGGTCCTGGAGCTTGCTGGACTTTCTTGGGCGCCCTGAAGCCTTCTTCACAACAATTGAACCTCTCTCCTTGAAGTTCTTGATTATCCGATAAATGGTTGATTTAGGTGAAATCTTACTAACAGCAATATCCTTGCCTGTGAAGCCCTTTTTGTGCAAAGCAATGATGATGGCACGTGTTTCCTTGCAGGTAACCATGGTTAACAGAGGAAGAACAATGATTTCAAGCACCACCCTCCTTTTAAAGCTTCCAGTCTGTTATTCTAACTCAATCAGCACGACAGAGTGATCTCCAGCCTTGTCCTCATCAACACTCTCACCTGTGTTAACGAGAGAATCACTGACATGATGCCAGCTGGTCCTTTTGTGGCAGGGCTGAAATGCAGTGGAACATTTTTGGGGGGATTAAGTTCATTTTCATGGCAAAGAGGGACTTTGCAATTAATTGCAATTCATCTGATCACTCTTCATAATATTCTGGAGTATACGCAAATTGCCATCATAAAAACTGAGGCAGCAGACTTTGTGAACATTTTTATTTGTGTCATTCTCAAAACGTTTGACCACGACTGTATATGCCTATAACTTCGTATGGTCTATTGATAGTTGTTAATTACACTATACACATAGTATATATATGCTTGGTCTCTAACTGTGCATCTCTGAGCTAAGGTTAATTTAATCAGTTAATGCTAGGACATCGATTGCAAGATATTAGCTCCTTGTTCCTTAGCCTCTTAATAACTGCATAATGGTAAACCTAGACACGTGAATCTTATAGTATTCTGAGTGGTGAAGCAAGGCTCGCAACCTTGGCTATACCCACTGGACACGACTATGGGCCTATAGCATTCACATAATAATGGAGTCAGATTGATAATTTCTGTCACACACGCAATAACCCATAATGTCAAAGTGGAATTCTGCTTTTAGACATTTTTACTAATGAATAAAACATTTAAAGCTGAAATGTCTTGAGTTAATAAGTATTCAACCCCTTTGTTATGGCAAGCCTAAATAAGTTCAGGAGTAAAAATGTGCTTAACAAGTCACATAATATGTTGCATGGACTCACTGTGTGTGCAATAATAGTGTTTAACATGATTTTTGAATGACTACCTCATCTCTGTACCCCACACATATCATTATCTGTAAAGTCCCTCAGTCGAGCAGTGAATAAAAAAATTATATTTAAACCACAAAGACCAGGGAGTTTTTCCCAATGCCTCGCAAAGAAGGGCACCTATTGGTAGGTAAAAAAAAAGCAGACATTGAATATCCCTTTGAGCATGGTGTTGAGCAAGTTGTCAATAACACCTTGAAAGGTGTATCAATACACCCAGTCACTACAAAGATAGAGACATTCTTCCTAATTCAGTTGCTTGAGAGGAAGGAAACCACTCAGGGATTTCACCAATAGTGACTTTAAAATAGTTACAGAGTTTAATGGCTGTGATAGGAGAAAACTATGGATGGATCAACAACATTGTAGTTACTCCACAATACTAAACTAAATGACAGAGTGAAAAGAAGGAAGCCTGTACAGAATAAAAATATTCCAAAACATGCATCCTGTTAGCAATAAGGCACTAAAGTAAAACTGCAACAAATGTGGGAAAGAAATTAAATGTATGTGCTGAATACAAAGCGTTTTGTTTGGGGCAAATCCAACACAACACATCACTGAGTTCAAATCTTCATATTTTCAAGCATGGTGGTGGCTGCATCTTGTTATGGGTAAGCTTGTCATCGGCAAGGAGTAGAGTGTTTTTTGGGGATAAAAAGAAACGGAATAGAGCTAAGCACAGGCAAAATCCTGGAGGAAAACCTGGTTCAGTCTGCTTTACAACAAAAACTGGGAGACAAATTCACCTTTCAGCAGGTTGCTTACCAAGATGACATGGAATGTTCCTGAGTGGCCTAGTTACAGTTTGCACATAAATTGGCTAGAAAATCAATGGTAAGATTTGAAAATGGTTGTCTAGCAATGAGCAAGAACCAACTTGACAGAGTTTGAAGAATTATTTTAAGAATAATCTGCAAATATTGTACAATCCAGGTTTGCAAAGCTCTTAGAGACTTATCCAGAAAGACTCACAGCTATAATCGCTGCCAAAGGTGATTCTACCATGTATTTACTCAGGAGTGTGAATACTTATGTAAATGAGATATTTCTGTATTTCATTTTCAATAAATTTGCTAAAAAAATCGAAATCAATTTTGGGACTTTGTCATTAAATCCATTTTGAATTCAGCCTGTAACACAACAAAATGTGGAATAATAAGTAAAGGGTTCTGAATACTTTATGAAGGCACTGTATACAGTGCATTCAGAAATATTCAGACCCCTTCCCTTTTTCCACATTTTGTTACCTTACAGCCTTATTCTAAAATGGATTAAATGAAATTTTCCCCTCATCAATCTACACACAATACCCCATAATGCCAAAGCAAAAACAGTTTTTTTGAATTTTGTGCACATTTATTAAAAATAAAAAACAGAAATAAGATATTTACTTAAGTATTCAGACCCTTTGCTATGACACTTGATATTGAGCTCAGGTGCATCCTGTTTCCATTGATCATCCTTGAGATGTTTCCACAACTTGATTGGAGTCCACCTGTGGTAAATTCAATTGATTGGACATGATTTGGAAAGGCACACACCTGTCTATATAAGGTCCCACAGTTGACAGTGCATGTCAGAGCAAAAACCAAGCCATGAAGTCAAAATAAATTGTCCGTAGAGCTCCGAGACAGGATTGTGTTGAGGCACAGATCTGGGGAAGGGTACCAAAAAAGGCTGCAGCATTGAAGGTCCCCAAGAACACATTGGCCACCATCATTCTTAAAAGGAAGAAGTTTGGAACCACCAAATCTCTTCCTAGAGCTGGCCGCCCGGCCAAACTGAGCAACCGGGGGAAAAGGGCCTTGGTCAGGGAGGTGACCAAGAACCAGATGGTTCCTCTGTGGAGATGGGAGAACCTTGCAGAATGACAACCATCTCTGCAGCACTCCACCAATCAGGCCTTTATGGTAGAGTGGCCAGACGGAAGCCACTCCTCAGTAAAAGGCACACGACAGCCCGCTTGCAGTTTGCCAAAAGGTACCTAAAGGACTCTCAGACCATGAGAAACAAGATTCTCTGGTCTGATGAAACCAAGATTGAACTCTTTGGCCTGAATGCCAATCATCACGTCTGGAGGAAACCTGGCACCATCCCTATGGTGAAGCATGGTGGTGGCAGCATCATGCTGTGGGAATGTTTTTCAGCGGCAAGGACTGGGAGACTAGTCAGGATCGAGGGAAAGATGAACGGAGCGAAGTACAGATAGATCCTTGGTGAAAACCTGCTCCAGATTGCTCAGGACCTCAGACTGGGGCAAAGGTTCACCTTCCAACAGGACAACGATCATAAGCAGACAGCCAAGACAACGCAGGAGTGGCTTCGGGACAAGTCTGAATGTCCTTGAGTGGCCCAGCCAGAGCCCGGACTTGAACTCGATCGAACATCTCTGGAGAGACCTGAAAATAGCTGTGCAGCGATGCTACCCATCCAACCTGACAGCACTTGAGAGGATCTGCAGAGAAGAATGGGAGAAACTCCCCAAATACAGGTGTGCCAAGCTCGAAGAGGCACACCCAAGAAGACTCGAGGCTGTAATCGCTGCCAAAGGTGCAACAAAGTACTGAGTAAAGGGTCTGAATACTTATGTGGTCCTCTGTAGCTCAATTGGTAGAGCATGGCGCTTGTAAAGCCAGGGTAGTGGGTTCGATCCCCGGGACCACCCATATGTAAAAATTTATGCACACATGACTGTAAGTCGCTTTGGATAAAAGCGTCTGCTAAATGGCATATTATTATTATTATTATTAATATTATGTAAATGTCATATTTCAGTTTATCTGTAATAATTTTGCAAACATTTCTAAAAACATGTTTTTGCTTTGTCATTATGGGGTGTTGTGTGTAGATTGATGAGGAAAAAACTATTGAATCCATTTAGAATAAGGCTGTAATCTAACAAAATGTGGAAAAAGTCAAGGGTTCTGAATACTTTCCGAATGCACTGTACTTGTTTTCAATAATGTTTGTGTCACAATTACTTTATAGTGTTTCAGAGCACATGCAGGTTAAAATAGTTTTTTGCAAACATTAAGTTATGATAATGTTATACTTATTTCCTATTTTTAAATGTTCTGATAGTACAAACACAGAGCTGTAAATAGAACAAAGAGTAACATGTTCTCACCGTTGTAGCAGACCGAGTAGTATTTTATGATACACCTGTCATCCCACCATGTCCCCCGATCTCCTGTCAGTACACAGTGCTGATCAGTGTATTTACCATCTGACCTGTCCCAGTTCCTAAACTCAGCCTCTCCGTCTCCATAGAAACCACTATCTTCCAGAGACCACCTCCAGCTGTTAAAATGATTATACAGCCCTATCCAGGCTGATCCATTATAACCACGGTCTACAGTGTTGACCAGCCTCTTCATATCCTCCATGTTGTCTATGGTGGCCAGGTCAGTGTACTTCTCTCTGCAGTATATCTGTGCTTCAGTCCAGTTTTTGCCCATGTTCACAAAGTAGTACTGATGAGGGAGGCATGGACAGGGTAAAAACAGCCCTGTGAACAAAACTATCATTTAGTGCATATTTATCTGTTCCTTATCACAGGCCTGCTACACTGGATACATAACTTTGCAGAGCGTTAGAAGCTCCCATTGTTTTCAATAAATACAGGATGTAAACAACACAGCTTCACGGGAGAATCGTGCAGCTCAGGGTACAATTACACTCTGGATCTATTTGAACGATTTTGATGCGCAACTCAAACCAAACACTTGATGAAGTGGCCATGCTCTGCTCACCCTGGAAAAGCTTTTCAGTGTAGCAGCAAAAATAAACACTGCTTCCACAGCGCCCCAGTGTAGCTAACAACACAGAAATATACAGTGCATTCGGAAAGTATTCAGACCCCCTTGAGTTTTTCCACATTTTGTAATGTTACAGCCTTATTCTAAAATGGATTAAATTGTTTTTTTCCCCTCATCAATCTACACACAATAACCCATAATGACAAAGCAAAAACTGGTTTTTATAAATTTTTGCAAATGTATAAAATAAAATAAAACGGAAATATTCCATATACATAAATATTCAGACAATTTACTCAGTACTTTGTTGAAGCACCTTTGGCAGTGATTGCAGCCTCAAGTCTTCTTTGCTATGATGCTACAAGCTTAGCACACATGTATTTGGGCAGTTTCTCCCATTCTTCTCTGCAGATCCTCTCAAGCTCTGTCAGGTTGGATGGGGAGCGTCGCTGCACAGCTATTTTCAGGTCTCTCCAGAGATGTTCGATCGGGTTCAAGTCCGGGCTCTGGCTGGTCCACTCAAGGACATTCAGAGACATGTCCGAAGCCACTCATGCGTTGTCTTGGCTGTGTGCTTAGGGTCATGTCCTGTTGGAAGGTGAACCTTCGCCCCAGTCTGAGGTCCTCGATCATGAGTAGTCTCCCAGTCCCTGCCGCTGAAAAACATCCCCACAGCATGATGCTGCCACCACCATGATTCACCGTAGGGATGGTGCCAGATTTCATCCAGACGTGAAGCTTAGCATTCAGGCCAAAGAGTTGGTCTAAGAGTCCTATAGGTGCCTTTTGGCAAACTCCAAGCGGGCTGTCATGTGCCTTTTACTGAGGAGTGGCTTCCATCTGGCCACTCTACCATAAAGACATGATTGGTGGAGCGCTGCAGAGATGGTTGTCCTTCTGGAAGGTTCTCCCATCTCCACAAAGGAACTCTGGAGCTCTTTCAGAGTGGCCATCGGGTTCTTGATCACCTTCCTGACCAAGAACCTTCTCCCCCGATTGCTCAGTTTGGCCGGGTGGCCAGCTCTAGGAAGAGTCTTGGTGGTTCTAAACTTCTTCCATTTAAGAATGAAGAATTATGGAGGCCACTGTGTTTTTGGGGACCTTCAATGCTACAGAAATTTTTTGGTACCCTTCCCCAAGTCTGTGCCTTGACACAATCCTGTCTTGGAGCTCTACGGACAATTCCTTCGACTTCACGGCTTGGTTTTTGCTCTGACATGAACTGTCAACAGTGGAAGCTTATATAGACAGGTGTGTGCCTTTCCAAATCATGTCCAATCAATAGAATTTACCGCAGATGGACTCCAGTCAAGTTGTAGAAACATTTCAAGGACGATCAATGGAAATAGGATGCACCTGAGCTCAATTTCCAGTCTCATAGTAAAGGGTCTGAATACTTACGTAAATAAGGTATTTCTGATTTTTTATTTTAATTAATTAGCAAACATTTCTAAAAACCTGTTTTTGCGTCATTATGGGGTATTGTGTGTAGATTGATGAGGACATTTTTTTATTTAATCTATTTTAGAATAAGGCTGTATTGTAACAAAATGTGGAAAAAGTCAAGGGGTCTGAATACTTTCCGAATGCACTGTAACTTATAGAAATACCAGTAAAATACCAGTTTTTCTCTACTTACATGCTTACTCACTAACTCAATGATGCACACACGCAGGCGCACACACACACACACACACACACACTCACACACACGCACACACTATTACATTTACAGTACTGACCTGTTAGTAAGAGAAGGGTTCTCCATGCCATCGTCAAGTTGACAGTGTTTCCACTAATGGAATGAAAGGGATTATTATATAAAATATAATTGCTAACAGGGGCTAAAGGGATAGTTCACTCAAATTACAAGATGACAAATTGGTTTCAGTACCCTTGAAGCAGTCAACTGACAAGGTAAGGACATTCAAATATTGAAGATTTCTTCATCAAAATCTTTCGTAAGACATTTGTTGTCATATGGAAAGGTAAAACAAATTCAGGCGAAGCCATAGTACCTTAGAACAACATAATTAAAGCTAACCTGAAGGTAATCGCACATTGTTGAGGAAAAGTTTCAAATTAAACAATGCAGTCAGATTATAATGAGTTTACACCCCCACCACGAAAATGTTGCACTTCAATTGTACACTTGCTGCTAGCACTGTCCTCACTCCTCAACATGCAAAAGTTTTCAAAATTGTTATTAACTAGTAACAAAGCCCTTACAGAACTCTCACAGTTGGTTTACCATATTTTAACTGGTCTATTTTTAAGTATAGAAATCAGTTAGCCCCCCCCCAAAAAAACTACATGTTCAAGTTCAAGGTTAAAATTCAATAACAATCTCAAGCACCAAAGAAAACATTTCCCCCATTTTGATTGATAATTCAGAAAATCTAATTCAAAGATATGAACCTGTTGAGCTGGTCTTGTCTGGTCCCTCTCTGGTTCTCTGGTCTGTGGACTGAGGTCTATGGTCTGGTCTGGTCTGGTCTTGGCTGGTTCTCTGGTCTGTGGACTGAGGTCTCCTGCTTGGTGTGTGTGTCTGGTGTTGTCTCTTGTCAGTGGTTGCCTCTCCTCTATGCAGAGATCTTGAGAGGGCTGAGATGCAAAGTATCTTTCCACTTCCAAACCGGGAAAAAAGGACGTGGCTAATATGCAATGTGCAAACCCATATTTGCACCTTGTTCCGGGATTCTTCCGATGGCATTGAGGAATACACCACATCAGTCACTGGCTTCATCAATAAGTGCATCGATGACGTCATCCCCACAGTGACTGTACGTACATACCTCAACCAGAAGCCATGGATTACAGGCAACATTCGCACTGAGCTAAAGGGTAGAGCTGCCGCTTTCAAGGAGCGGGACTCTAACCCGGAAGCTTATAAAAAATCCCGCTATGCCCTCCGACGAACCATCAAACAGGCAAAGCGTCAATAGAGGACTAAGATCGAATCGTACTACACCGACTCCGACACTCGTCGGATGTGGCAGGGCTTGCAAACTACTACAGACTACAAAGGTAAGCACAGCCACGAGCTGCCCTGTGACACGAGCCTACCAGACGAGCTAAATTACTTATATGCTCGCTTTGAGACAAGTAACACTGAAACATGCATGAGAGCATCAGCTGTTCTGGACGACTGTGTGATCACGCTCTCCGTAGGCAATGTGAGTAAGACCTTTAAACAGGTCAACATTCACAAGGCCGCAGGGCCAGACGGATTACCAGGACGGGTACTCCGATTATGCGCTGACCAACTGGCAAGTGTCTTCACTGACATTTTCAACCTCTCCATGTCTGAGTCTGTAATACCACATGTTTCAAGCACCATAGTCCCTGTGCCCAAGAACACTAAGGTAACCTGCCTAAATGACTACCGACCCGTAGCACTCACGTCTGTAGCCATGAAGTGCTTTGAAAGGCTGGTCATGGCTCACATCAACACCATTATCCCAGAAACCCTAGACCCACTCCAATTTGTATACCGCCTGAACAGATCCACAGATGATGCAATCTCTATTGCACTCCACACTGCCTATTCCCACCTTGACACAAGGAACACCTATATGAGAATGCTATTCATTGACTACAGCTCAGCGTTCAAAACACCATTGTGCCCACAAAGCTCATCACTAAGCTAAGGACCCTGGGACCAAACACCTCCCTCTGCAACTGGATCCTGGACTTCCTGACGGGCCGCCCCCAGGTGGTAAGGGTAGGTAACAACACATCCGCCACGCTGATCCTCAACATGGGGTCTCTCAGGGGTGCGTGCTCTGTCCCCTCCTGTACTCCATGTTCACTCATGACTGCATGGCCAGGCACGACTCCAACACCATCATTAAGTTTGCAGATGACACAACAGTGGTAGGCCTGATCACCGACAATGACGAGAGCCTATAGGGAGGAGGTCAGAGACCTGGCTGTGTGCTGCCAGGACAACAACCTCTCCCTCAACGTGATCAAGACAAAGTTGTGGTCCTCTGTAGCTCAGCTGGTAGAGCACGGCGCTTGTAACGCCAAGGTAGTGGGTTCGATCCCCGGGACCACCCGTACACAAAAAAAAAATGTATGCACGCATGACTGTAAGTTGCTTTGGATAAAAGCGTCTGCTAAATGGCATATTATTTATTATTATTATTACAAAGGAGATGATTGTGGACTAACAGAAAAAGAAGAGGACCGACCATGCCCCCATTCCTTGGTGTCCACATCACCAACAAACTAACACGATCCAAGCACACCAAGACAGTCGTGAAGAGGGCACAACAAAACCTATTCCCCCTAAGGAGACTGAAAAGATTTGGCATAGGTCCTCAGATCCTCAAAAGGTTCTACAGCTGCACCATCGAGAGCATCCTGACTGGTTGTATCACCGCCTGGTATGGCAACTGCTCTGCCTCTGACCGCAAGGCAATACAGAGGGTAGTGCGTAAGGCCCAGTACATCACTGGGGCCAAGCTTCCTGCCATCCAGGACCTCTATACCAGGCAGTGTCAGAGGAAGGCCCTAAAAATTGTCAAACTCCTGCCACCCTAGTCATAGACTGTTCTCTCTGCTACCGCATGGCAAGCGGTACCGGAGCGCCAAGTCTAGGTCCAAGAGGCTTCTAAACAGCTTCTACCCCCAAGCCATAAGACTCCTGAACATCTAATCAAATGGCATTGCCCCCCCCCCCCCCCCCCCCCCCCCTTTACGCTGCTGCTACACTCTGTTTATTATCTATGCATAGTCACTTTAATAACTCTACCTACTTGTAC